ATTCTGCCTCAAAAATCAATCAATCAATCAATAAAAAGAGCTACAGAAAAATTCCGTTACTTGGTCTCAGTTCCTTGTCTGATCACCGGTCTTCTGTCACTTATAGCCAGAGGGGGTGGGACCTAGGGCTTTATCCAATCACGGGCAAGGAGGTGAGGGGTGTCCACCAATCAGGTTCACAACCGGAAGTAAGGAGGCGGTTTCCGGAATATGGCGCCTCTGCTTTACTTTTTCGCTCGTGAGGAGCTGCTGTGTCGGCTTAGCTGTTGGTCTCTGGGAGTGCACGGTTGTCTGTACCACCTCTTCTGTCACCCTGCAGGTACCGGGAGATTTATAGGGAGGACACCCGGATGCTTTGTCATCTGGGAAATGGTGAGCGTTCAGGGCTGGGCTCCCCGAGCGGGGAGAGGTCGGTTGAACTCAATGGAAGCAGCTTTGGCGGGACCCGGACCTCCAGCCTCAGCTCCGGGGTCTTGATACTCAACTTCACCGGTGGCGCCTCTTGGCCTTCCGTCTCCTGTGGTCACAGGGTAAGGCTGGGCAGGCAGCTGGGACCGTGGGCGTCCCGCCGGGTCTCTGCGCATGGACTTCGGCCTCATCCCGGAACCTTGTCGGTGTAGCTCTGAGCCCACAGCCCCTTGTCTCCCCATGTTGTGATGTGACAAGGGAAGGGTCGCTAGGAGAGGATCCTGACTCGATTGTTGGGTTCGGGCACGGAGGTAGTTGGGTGGGCTCAGTGAGGTCACCATCTTACAAATTTGGTCTTCAGTAGGTTCTTGGTCTCGGTGATTTTAAGAATGAATCTGCGGACCACAGATCAGTTGTTAGACAGGATTCGGGCCCTCTGTAGTTTCATTTAGCGTTTCTGGGACAGTGTGTCTGGGTACAATTCCTTAAATTCCCGGCGCTAGGAGATGGGGGTTCTCTGTTCAGCCCCAAGTGCAAGGGGAGGGAAACCTAAGGTGCTGGTGTCTCCCCAGCAGTTGTCTGGCCCCTCCAGCTACTGGATCCTCCTGCGGGGCCTCCCTGCCTACCCACCAACCTGCTGGTTCCTCTGCTTGCTGCCACCGCACTAACACCAATGAGGTAGAGGAGCCAGACCGTGCCCCGCACCCCCAGCTCCACCAACCTGGCTGGAGTGTCACCTGTCGTGTATCAACTCTCCCTCTTCAAGTAGAAACTAACTGCTGTTGGGGGAAAAGGACAAGACTCAATCTAAGCTTCCTCCTGGGTCAGGGGGTGATAGGAAAGGGCAGGTAGAGTTTCTCTGGAGGTCCGTGATCCAGGGGTCCATGATAGAATCAGATCCTGGACTGGAACCATCTATACTGTGTGTGGGTTGATAGTTCTGGAAGACACAGATCTGATTAGCACATTTAAAGGCAAGGGTATGGCTCCGCCTGTGGCTAAGGCGCCAGCCACATACACCTAAGGTGGCCCGTTTGAATCCAGCCCCAGCAGGCCAAAACAGCAATGATGGCTGCAACCAAAAAAATAGCC